GTTTAGCTACCCATTCGCATGCCTCACCATGTCTTTCGATAGGCCCGCCCCATTCAGCCCCGATAAAACCCAATGGGAAGCTCTCACAAAGGAAAAGTTCCAAGGGAAGAGATGCTGTTTCGGGCAATTAGTTTGGTACAGAACCAAGACTCCTGGCAAGCGTACTCTCGATCCGAACATGGCGCCAGCGCTCTTTTTGGGTTGGAGGGTCGATCCGGGGTTGCGGTGCCGTAACGTGGTCAAAGTCATGGACTATGAAGCCTTCCGTAAAGATGGTTCCATTTCTGTTCACGATGTTCCTGAACCGGAATTGTTCGTTGAGGACGGACCGCCAAGCTTTCCGATCGCAGCAGCAGCAGATAGAGCATTGCATGGAGGGAAGACGGAAGGGTCAGATCCCCCACTTTTGCCCCTGCGAGAGGCACCCTTTGGGGCCCCACCGACTCCATCCGCTGTCAAATCAAAATCCGTGTACATAACTGTTGAGAGGATCATCAAGTTCAAGCCAGGTTGTCGTGCATGCACCGGTCATTCCAAGATTCACAGTGCTGAATGCAAGAAGAGGTTCTCTGAACTTGTTTCTGCAGATAGGGCTGAAGCAGCTGCAAAAAGCGCTGCCAAAAGTGAGTCCAAGGAACCCATTCCCATTGTTCATACCGAAGGGGATGAGGAGCTAGCCAGAGCAATCCACGCATCCGAGCATGATAAAGATCCTAAGATCGCAGTTAGTGCGCATGAATTTGATGCAGCCGAAGCCGCGGAGCCAGCTCCCTCAAGACCCGGTGCCTCATTTTTCGATTCCGCGCCAGCGACAGCCGCTACATCGCAAGGTGAAGATTTTTGGGTGTTCAAAGAAAATGCCAACTGTTTGGTTCGGTACCATATTGCCAAGGCAGAATCTTTTTACCCCAAAGGAGGTCGAGGATTGCCTCGCTTCCCCAGAAAGGTTCACTGCAGCTCGCACCACTCGTGCCGTGTTTCGGGGGGGCAAAGCAGACAACATCCGCGATGGTTGGTTTGGTAGCCGACCTAATCGCTCACTTGGGGATTCATGGACCGGGTTCACAGTGTTCAAGTTAAAACCCATTCAGTCCGATTGCGTTATCAGGTGGAGCCGTGATGTTAGAGTCCGTACCGCCGACACCTCTCACCGAAGCGTCAAAGAACGGGCGTCCAGGTACATTGCCAATTTTTGGCATGCCGTGCAGCGCAGAGGTTGAAGCTCCGCCGCCCAAGCAATTTGTGGTAGGAAACCGCAAACGTCAGGCACGCATGGATAAGTTTGCCTGTGATGTTTGAATACGCATGTTCACCAGAGTCCAATATGGGTCGCGTGTTTGAAGGCCTTGGCATACCGCATGTTAGGCTGGCTAACGAGTTCATCGACCTTAGCACCGATGAAGGAGAAATCCAATTGCAGTCACAGATAGAAGGTTGTGATAAACCCAATCAAGACCGCAAAGACCGCTTGCTACCCTGAAGGCATGTGTCTCACAGTTGCCCGTGCGCTGTATCCGACAGTAGGACCCGTTGTGCCTGCGATGCCTGTCCAAGTGCCATTGCCTCTCGACCACCGGGAACGTGAACAGCAGCTAAAACACATATCCCCTCTCTCTGGTTTGGAAGATATAGGTATTGCTGTCGAATCCGATGAAAAGTGTCACGACATCCTCGAACAAGTTCTTGATGTTGAAAATCTCATCGCACATTCCCTAGGACAAGTCAGGAGAAGGATCCTGAAATCACCGCAATGGTGACTAGACTCTTGTCACGTGCCGAAATGTTGGCTTCCCCGCAAGCCCTTGAAGCCGTCCGACTTGAAGCCACAGGCCTGGAGAAGGCCGGTGTTTGGGATCTAAATTCAGTCCGAGAGTACGATCAAGTCGCTGCTGAGGCGCGACGATCCAGTGTAAAAGTTCACTTCGGGCAGTTGATGTCGCTAGCATCCGTCAAGTTCGCCGAACTCGCGAAGCACCTTCAAAAGATGAAGGGTAGGATAGTGTATCGCGGAGACTGTGCGAAAGACGAACATGGTGCAGCGGCTGTATACCAAGAATTGGGAGCTAATCCCACGAGCGTACAAGGTCTTAATAACTGTCTCGCTTACGGATCCCTGCCAGGGAATTCCACCACAACAGCGGACGCTATAAAGGCTTACGTACAAGCACTGCTGAAATCCAAGTACTAAACTTGGATCACACTCCCGCCTGAGCTCCGGCCAAGGTGGTGGCGCGAGCGTTTCGTGAAACCTGTGGTTTTGCTCGTTAAAGCTCTTTATGGGCATCCTGACGCTGGCGGACTCTGGGAGGCACACCTCAAAGGTTTCATTAGTGAACTTGGAGGGCGTGAAGTCGCAGAGTTCCCTGGAAACTTCTGGTTCAAGGAGTCCGGGTTACTTCTCTCGACATACGTCGACGACTTGACGTGGGCCGGCCCCAGCCACCTTCATAAAGACTTCTGGGAAAAGTTAACAAGACTGGTAGACATAGAACCCCCAGAAGACATATATCGGGTGCTAGGCAGGAATCACCTTTTGATAAATGCTCCGAAGGACCCAATTGAACCTGATCTTAATGCCGCAATGGGCAGATTGAAAGGGGGCATGGCGTTCGACATGCGAGATTATGCTCGTCAAACGGTTGCGTTATATCTTCGCTGGAGAACGAGACGCAAAATCAACGTCCGGAGGCTTCTTGGTTTTGAGTGGTCCACATACGCACTTTCCCCTCGCGTGGGTGTCGAAAAGGCAGACCTCGGTATCCCGATCGACGACCGAGGCGGAAATAGTGTCTCTTGCGTACTCCCTGTACCAGGAGGCACTACCTGCGCTCAGCTTATGGGAGCTGATCTTGGACAGGCCAGTCCATCTCAAGATCCATGAGGATAATCAGGCGACCACCCTCGTAGCAAAGAAGGGTTTCTCATCCAAGCTACGCTGTGTACAACGCACGCACAAGGTGAACTCGCTTGCATCGCAGAGCAGCTTGAAAGCGAACACATCTCAATAGAATATGTCCAAACAGACATGCAGTCAGCAGACATTTTCACTAAAGCACTTCCTCCCAACAAGTGGGACCATGCCATCAGGTTGCTAGGCATTCGTGTTGACCTTCCAGAGAAGCTTGAAGATGTGCGTGAAAGTAGATCCGCTAAAGCAGCCGCCTAGTGCGCTGCAGCATGTCCGCAAAATTTCCAAAAGTGTGCAAGTGACTGGGCGATGCTTGAATAACTTGCGTCAGTCGTTGTGATGTAAACTTGACTTCAAGTTGGCGTGGTAATGCGCCCAAGACACTCCCTCAGTGCCGTCAATGAGGGGGGAGTCAATTATCACGATGACATTTATGGCCCAGAGGTTCATGAGTCAGATGTTCTTGTAACAAGGTGTACAAACAATTCAAGGTTGAAGCATGACATGATCACATGTCGCTTTGGCTCAAGGAAAAGAGCGCGTTGCACGCGCTGCCCACAAGTTAAGGGAGAGGTCGCAGTCACGGCGGGGTTCGTTCCTTTTAAGGTCCCGGGTTCCCCCGTTGTTGAGAAAACTGTGTTTCCCTCTCCTTTGAGTTTTAAAGGGTGGTTCACCTAACCAATATGGGATGACAAAAAGAGATGTTTCATTATTTCCCTCAAGGTTGGGCCGAGTGGCTTTCCCTGGTTTATGCCGCCCACTTAACTTGGCTGCATTTTGACAGGATCACTCAAAGAATGCAATTGCGCTTTGCCAACTGAGTTGGAGGTTCGCCCTGTAAAGCATGTGATTTGTCGATGTGTCCTTGAAGGCGACCGTTCTTTTTTTGGGGCGGTTTCCAAATTGTCCTTTGGCTCCGGGTGGTTTCTCTTTGAATCACCTTTTTAGATGTTAACTTTGAAGATGTCACTTTAATGGACCCAGTTTCTGGTTGTGATGAGAACCACACCCCCGCCGAGAGTACGGAAGTCAGATCATCCTACGACTTGGAACGGGGTCCATGGGCTTGGGCATGGTCCCAACCATTGAGTAGTTTGTGGAGGGGGCAAGCAGGGGCGGCGGTTGCTTCCCCATATTCCCTTTGGCCTGTGCCAGCGACAATGAATTCATCGGGGGCATGTCGGGGGAGCCCATTCTTTCACCACCCCACCAGTTCCATGTTCCGCTAGTTGTTCTATTTGGGTGCTTAGGCGATCCATATCCTTCTTCTTTACGAAGCGGGTTTGGAACATGTCCGAAATGCACCTTCAATCGAAGCCCAAGGGAAAATATATTTGGCACATTTTGGTCCGGTTCTTGGTCGACGCGTTCCGTCGTCCAGTTGCGCTGTTTCAGGGTATTGTGTTTTCCTCTGTTTCCTGCGTTTGCTGTTTAAGTGGCTGGGTTTCCTGCAGATGTGTTTTCGAGCGAGTCCATGCTAGGCTTCCCCAAGCCTAAGGCCCCCTTAGGAGAAGCCTAAGCCCCAAGAAACTCATGGGTGGGAGTTGCCAAGGCTCCTATGGCCCGAAGGGAATGCATGAGGTTGCAGGGTTCTCTTTTCAAGGCTGAATTGAGTACACCTCCCCATAAAAGCCTACCGAGGTTTCCTTTCTGTTGGGAGAAGGAATTTGGTTGATACAAAGTCCAGAGATACGCGAGCCAGGATTTGTTTTGGTTTGTTGCGTTGCCATGGGTGAGTCTGTTGGTGACTACGAGCTCTTCCTTGGTGATGCGTTGGTGTGCGTTGCGATGGTAGTCCGTTTTGTTTCCTAGAAAAGAGCCACCAGCCCAAGTTGCGGGAATAGTTTTGTCATAATGTTGTTTGCATCTATTCCCACTCTCGTGCATTCCTGCTTTAGTGTTACGCAAGTCGTTGGTCAAGGCCCTTCCTTGCCCTTGCTGCCATTTGAAATTGTATCATGCCCTCTTTGCGAGCGCAACCAAAGCGTCACTCCTGCTTCGCGTAATCTCCCGGAAGTTCATATGGGATTATCGCGCTTTTGGGGCTAGCTGCGGATCACGACGTTTTTCGTTTCAGATGAAATCGCGCCAGGCGAATCAGATCAAGGAGATGGCCTGGAAGGCACAGGTGCACAACAACCATGACTTCCTCCGACAAGAGCTGGAGGTGCTCGCCTTTTTTTTCCGCCCGGGGGATGACACCTGCGACTTTCCTTGAAGGCGGAGGGTGTTGGTACGTACTTGTTGTTTTTCTCGAAGACCTCAGGCGGTCCTTACTAAAGTGGCGCCAGTGATGTTCAATGCATGTACTACAGAACAGCATCATCTACGATATCTATGGTGCTAAACCTGACTGATTCTTGTATTAAACAGCCACCCGGAAACCATCAAGCTTTGTTGGGTACATGTTTGCTATTGATATGTTCACAGCGGTCCCTGCGAATGGGAATGATAAACAGGCCTGAGGCCGTGGGGGGGCGCTAGTCACGCGCTGGCCGGGCGCTCGCATGTTGTTTGCTGTTGACTGTCGTTGGAGCGCATAGCTTGCTTTCACTTTCCATTGGGAAATCAAGAGGCTGTTGACTGCTCACTGTGCCACACCGGCCTTTCACTGATTTTTCAAGTCTTTCTGAAAATGGTCTTGTCTGGCAGATTTCGGCGCTTGCAGCACGCTAGCAAGGTGTTGGTGTGAACAACAAAGAAAAACCATTGTGTTATGATACAATCCGTGCAGGAAATCTTGCAAAACTCTGTTTGCAGACCGTACCGAACACAAGTAGCGTGGTGTTTTTGCCATGGCTGCTGGCTCCCCTGTGAAACCAACCTGCAAGCCCCGCTTGAAGGGTCCATGACCATGACGACCACCGGTAGCTCGTTTTTTTTTTTTTCTAAAAAAAATCTAAAAAACAAAAAACACCTTTAAATCTCAAAAACAAAAGGCAAATCGGTCTTGTGACCATGGCACAGGCCCTGGTTCCTCGGCTCTCATCAGCGCCCACCACGCCCCGCAGCCCTGCCACACTCCTGCCCACGCCCGGGGCGCCAGACCTCTTCCAAATCCAGCCCCCCCAAAACCCAGTGGCGCCTTCCCAGATCTTTTTCCCAGGGGCTACCAGAGGAACACCAGCAAAAAAGGGGCGCCCCTTTTTCTCATTGGCGAGGGTGAGAATCCAGGTCAATCTGTTGGAGGGAACCCTAGGAGAAACGGGGGCCAACATGTTCTAAAGACATCATTTGCAGGGACTGAGTGGGTAAAGTTAAAGGGAAACTGAAAAGAAACTGCCCATTGTGTGTTCAACGACCGAGGAAAAAGGTCCTTTTCGATTTGGGCCTGTCTGCAAATGAGGGAACCTCCGCAATGGGCATTCCAGCCACTTGAGTTGATCCAACGCACTCCACGCCTCTGTTCATCTCGATGGTTGCCTATTCAGAACAACTGCCCGTGAGTGAAGACGCAGGACCAACATGCGTGTCACCCAGTTGGGAAATCGGGTGAAGATCAGACGCGGGCCCAACAATCCGAAACAAACCTCACAAAAGCTTGGAAAGTCTGGGGGCATCTCCTTTCCATTATTCCCAACCCAGCGCCCACCCCCCCCCCCCCCCCCGCGCGGTTTTGCATGCGTTGTTTTGCGCCGTGTTTGCTCCAATTCATGAGGCACTCTGAGGGCGCACATGATTGGGGCAAACTCAGCACATCTACGGCCAAGCAATGGTGCCAGAGCTCGCGCGCCCTTCACAAAATGCAGCTGTTATTTCAACTGAAGAACCACCTCACAAGTGGTTGGAGGACATCAATCCCCACTCAAATCATGTCAACCAAAGGGCCCCCTATTAAAATCCCCACCCGAATCTGCAAGTTGGTGAATCAAATGTTCAACTCCTTATAACCCCCAAGATGTGAGACTCAGTTTGCCAGCGTCGCTGGGTTCAAAATCTATGCCGCCAGATGGGTGGAAATGGGCGCTCGCGCGTTTCCATTTGAACACAATCCTGAACAGGCTACCCGTAAAAAGACACACCATGTTGAGCAAATATTGGGGGGGGGGTCCCCTGAGAACCTCACTTTTTGAGTTCCTGGCCTTTCAGCTTTTGGGGCGGACCATTCTAGTGGTAATCAAACAGTTTTGACGTTTTTTGGCCAATCTACTCGGGAAGTGAGCCATCTCGACGCGTTGATGAGGCCGTCAGCCAAAGGCTCCTCGCCTCGGAACTCGACGCCCCGACTGGAGCGCTTCATCCCGGCAACGCGGGGAGCCAAGGGGGGAAGCCCTCCTTGGTGTTTTTGGTTGACATGAACCTTTCTAAGTCTATCTTGGGGTGGTTGAAAAATGGGCTTGTTTTGTTATTGAAGGCTAACCTGTTGCGCCACTTGCTTCTGGCTTCTTCCTGAATGCGGCATGGGCGACGAAACCCATGTACCGCCATATTGGCAAAGCTCTCAACAATTCGCAGCGATTTCATTCAGACACTAGCCACAAATGCAAAGAGGTTGGAAAGCAGCTGCAAAAGCTGAGTTCGGCGTTGGTTGGGTATGTGTCAGACGATGGGACCCCCAAAATGGGTGGGTGGCCTTTTGGATTGCTCTTCGACCGACGTGAAAAGGGCGCCCTCAACGACACACAAACCGAGCTTGACAAGTTGGACAGACTTTGAGAGGACATGTGGCTGACAGGTTTCTCACAACTCAAAAGTGCACCCTCATGTGTAGTGGGCCAGAGGGTCCCCCAATTCATGTATTACAGCTGGAAAGCCGGGAAGCTGGCCTTTCTAATTTCCAGTGGAACCCCCCTGTAGCTGGTTTCTATCTTAGACCAATGTAGCAGAGGCCCGTGTCCCGTTCCGTCTTTGGCGTCGCCTCTCGGCAGGTACGTCGCCACCTCCCCAAGGTATGGCGCCACCTCGCCGAGGGCCAAGACGAGCACACTGGCGACGGGGCGCCTAGTGTGCTCTTCGCCCCCGCCACCTGCATTCGTAAGATTGGCCGGGAGAAAACCTCAACCTGCTGGATTTGTTTGAGGGGCGGGTGACGGGTGTTCCCAGGAATTCCTTCGTTGGGGCGCCCTCCCTGTGAATTTGGCAAGGGCTCGATTGGGTTGCCCAACCAGTGGAAGCCAAGCCCGCCACGTGTTTCGGGGGTCTTTGCAGGGGTGCCATATGGGTGGTTGGAAGAATGGAGCGTCTCAGGGCCGGCAGCTGCTACGATAGTGCTACGATGAGGGTGCCTATGTGACACCATGTGTGGTGCGTGTCGAAGTAGGGAGCCCCAAAAATGTGCCGCTTCCCTTTCATTTCCTTTCAACCACCGCCAAGAGCGAAGCCTCCAACAAAAACAGAAATCGATGTGACACTACAACCATGGCCCAAGGAGCCACACTGGTGTAGGACTGGTGGCCCGGACCAGTTGAGCTCTCGAAGTGCTCTCCAACGAGCCCTGCCAAAGGCTTCTCATGGCTTCCCCACCTTTACGTGTGTGAACATCTAGAGGACCCCGGTGGGAAATCTCGAGCTGGCTGTACCTATTGGGTATGCAATGAGATAGAGAGATGGTTTGCTCATGTGATATACCGACGCCGGCCAAAATTTGCTGGCCCACAAAGCACTAATCGCGGAACACCCAGAAATGTCATCCAACCCCAATGTTTTGAAATCCGCCTGCTAAGTATTATGTGGATGGTTTATCTTACTAGGGATCTACTATCTTCCAACCATCCTCCAAGGTCCAAGGGAAGTTGCGATACGCACTGACGGCTAAGTGGCCAAAAAATAGTGCCTGCCTGTCATATGTTTGCTATGTTCCCTCGCCACCATGGCATTGATGGGGCATCCTCTCGGGGCGCGCCTCGGGCCTCACTTCTTCTGGGTGAACCACCGTCGACTGTCTCCCCTTGGAGTACATGGTGGCTGGAACAAGGCCAAGAATGCAAGATTGCAGGTTGCGCTATGGCGAAACTCAATCACCACCTCCCAACTGGTTCTCGCCCTTTATGTCCAGTCAGGATCTCATGGACAATATCAAGGATACGCGCATGTATATATATATATATATGTATATGTATGCATGTGTGTGTGTGCATATGACATGTGATGTTCGCCAATAGTCATGGCCTCCGGCAACACCCGGATCTCTGCAACTGTCAAGAGTCATCCGGCTCGAAAGGCTAGCGACTCCTTGGAATGTCCTCTTGCTTGGCCTTGGAAAAAATGGTAGGTATGGTAGGTGGTTTGTCCCAGGTTTCATTTGGCTTGCATCCCAACTGGCGCCTGGCGATTGATTTTGTCCAAAGGGCTTTGTCCAAGACTATGTGGGAGGGCCAAAAACCCAGCCAAGGCAGGCTGGAGATAGGATACTGCTGGTTTCGAACCTGCCGGGTCAAAAGTGACACGACCCCTCCACTTGTGTTTGGTTCAAAGACACCAAGGCGCAGTTGCCCAGTTGATGCCGCCCTTTTTTCAACTTTTTCTTGGAAGGGGTTCCCCTTTAAACTCGTCCCCAACCAAAAAAGGATGCTTTCCTTTTGGGAAGGGGTCCCGCTTAAACTCAACCAACCAAAAAAACTCGGATGCCCTTTTTCCAGTGTCCCGTGACAAAAGGATGCCTGTTTTTTTTCCCATGGAAATCCACTGGGCCTCTGAGAACCAGCCCAGTGCCATGGGAATTTTCTCAGTGAGGTCTCACTCGCCCGCCAGCTGGGACCTCAAGGGCTCGCTCGAGTTGTTGGCGTTGTTTGCTCTGCTGAGTCGCTTTTTGGGAGGGCGGCCCAGTTTGAAGGAACAAGGGACATGTGTTTTGTTATGTTGTGTTTGCTTTGTTTCTTGTGCTGTTTTTTTGTTGGTTGTTTGTGTATGTGTTTCTGTTGGGGGGTGTCTCGAGGCTCTTTGAGACACACCCAGCTTGTCATTGTTAATTGGCTACCAGTTGGTAGGTGGTTTCTCCCAGTATTTGTAGGGTTTCATGCACCCTAACTGGTGGAGGAATTTGCCCATGCACAATATGAGCAAAACGCGGGCATCTCCAGGTCAAGGAATGTTACTTAGATAGTCAGGGTATATTGGAGGAACTAACAAACAAACTCGATTAGTAAAGCAAGGTCGAGAGCTAGAATTACTTTCCCAATGCGATATTACAATTCAACAGTTGTAGTTTTCGGTTTGCGTAGTATAGATCAAAATGACAACTTAAACTAGTCAAGTTCTCCGGAAGGCAAATTGTTTGAAATGTAATTTGTTTTTCGGCAATGACAAGGCAACTATTGACACACAAAAGTTGAATAGTTGTAGTAGAAAACCTCTGGGTGTTTGTATCACAGTGAACGACAAAGCTTGGGGGGGGCCTTGGAACGAAATACTCCTGCGTCAAGTGTGGTTTCTTGAATGTTCATACACCTTCTGACTGCACGGAATGTTGACCAACAAACTGCATAGACTATCGCAACCCCATATTATGCAATGTTTACACTGCTAGGACCTTTGGCAAGCCAGTGACCAGTCAGCCGGGTGTTTGGGCATGATGAGTCCGAGTTGTTTGTGGACATTCACCAGTCTGACCAAGTGATGCCCTAAAGAAACGTCTTTCTTGCTTCTTACCTCCTGCCTGCGAACTCTCCGCCAAAATTGCCCGGCCAAAACCCTGCAGGCCAGGTGGCCTTGACTGGGCCGTTTAAATTGATCATTTGTCTCCGGTCCTCAAACATCCAGCCGCGCAGTTAAGCGCACGGGAGTTCGGCCCAGTACGCCACATTCTGTCTAAATGATCTCTGGTTGCGGAAGTACCCAATTCTCAGGTTGGCTTGCAAAATGTGGGGGGCCCGCCTCACTTATGTTGACAACCCCAACTGAAGAAACATCTTGCCTTTGGGAGCGGTTTCAGCCAGGGCATCAGGCTTTGGCCAGAAGCATTCAAAAAAATCGCGTTGCAATCCGAGGAGGGCAGCAGTGTGAACTTGAAATGACGTCGTTTATCAAAGGAAGTTTAACAAGAAACTTCCGTAGTACTGGAACTAAATGAGCTAGCTGCTTTGACATATAGCTATGACAGGTAGCTAGCATGACAAATAGATAGCTTTGACATATAGCTAGCTTGACAGATAGATAGCTTTCCAATAGGCTAGCATGACAGATAGATAGCTTTGACATATAGCCAGCTTAACACATAGATAGCTTTCTCAAGTATCGATTTCGTGGCAGGCGCAGCACTTTCGCAGCACTTTCGCAAGGTCAAGTATAGATTTCGTGGCAGGCGCAGCACTTTCGCAAGCACTCTCTGCGAGCTGGGGGATGGCAAGATGCAGAAAACGTTGGCGCTGTGCGTGAATTGGGCTTCCGGACAGTGCGCAAACCACCTCGGCTGCGACGCCTGTACGGCGGCGGTCTCGGAACGGGTTCGGAACGGGTCGGAACGGTCTCGGAGACGGGACCATTGGCACGGCCGCGCGAAGGTTTCGCAAGGTTTGAATTGCGTGGCAGGCGCAGCACTTTCGCAAGGTCAAGTGTAGATTTCGTGACAGGCGCAGCACTTTGGCAGCAGCACTTTCGCAAGGTCAAGTATCGATTTCGTGGCAGGCGCAGCACTTTCGCAAGGTGCTGCGTCCACTCTCAGCGAGCTGGGGGATGGCAAGATGCAGAAAACGTTGGCGCTGTGCGTGAATTGGGCAATTGGGCTTCCGGACTGTGCGCAAACCACCTCGGCTGCGACGCCTGTACGGAGGCGGTCTCGGAACGGGTTCGGAACGGGTGCGGAACGTCTCGGAGACGGGACCATTGGCACGGCCGCGCGAAGGTTTCGCAAGGTTTGAATTGCGTGGCAGGCGCAGCACTTTCGCAAGGTCAAGTGTAGATTTCGTGACAGGCGCAGCACTTTCGCAAGGTCAAGTATAGATTTCGTGGCAGGCGCAGCACTTTCGCAAGCACTCTCTGCGAGCTGGGGGATGGCAAGATGCAGAAAACGTTGGCGCTGTGCGTGAATTGGGCTTCCGGACTGTGCGCAAACCACCTCGGCTGCGACGCCTGTACGGCGGCGGTCTCGGAACGGTTCCCGAACGGTCGGAACGGCGGAACGGTCTCGGAGACGGGCCCATTGGCACGGCCGCGCGAAGGTTTCGCAAGGTTTGAATTGCGTGGCAGGCGCAGCACTTTCGCAAGGTCAAGTGTAGATTTCGTGGCAGGCGCAGCAGCACTTTTCGCAGCACTTTCGCAAGGTCAAGTATAGATTTCGTGGCAGGCGCAGCACTTTCGCAAGCACTCTCTGCGAGCTGGGGGATGGCAAGATGCAGAAAACGTTGGCGCTGTGCGTGAATTGGGCTTCCGGACAGTGCGCAAACCACCTCGGCTGCGACGCCTGTACGGAGGCGGTCTCGGAACGGTCTCGGAACGGTCTCGGAACGGTCTCAGAACGGTCTCGGAGACGGGACCATTGGCACGGCCGCGCGAAGGTTTCGCAAGTTCTGAATTGCGTGGCAGGCGCAGCACTTTCACAAGGTCAAGTATAGATTTCGTGGCAGGCGCAGCACTTTCGCAAGGTCGAGTACAGATTTCGTGGCAGGCGCAGCACTTTCGCAAGGTGCTGGATCCATTCTCTGCGAGCTGGGGGATAGCAAGTTGCAGAAACGTTGGTGCCATGCGTGTATTGGGCTTCCGGAAAGTGCGCAAACCACCTCGCTCGCGACGCCTGTACGGAGGCGGTCTCGGAACGGGTTCGGAACGGTCTCGGAACGGTCTCAGAACGGTCTCGGAGACGGGACCATTGGCACGGCCGCGCGAAGGTTTCGCAAGTTCTGAATTGCGTGGCAGGCGCAGCACTTTCACAAGGTCAAGTATAGATTTCGTGGCAGGCGCAGCACTTTCGCAAGGTCGAGTACAGATTTCGTGGCAGGCGCAGCACTTTCGCAAGGTGCTGGATCCATTCTCTGCGAGCTAGGGGATAGCAAGATGCAGAAGCGGTCGCGGAGACGGGACCATTGGCACGGCCGCGCGAAGGCTTCGCAAGGTTTGAATTGCGTGGCAGGCGCAGCACTCTGTGCGTGAATTGGGCTTCCGGACAGTGCGCAAACCACCTTGGTTGCGACGCCTTCACGCAGGCGGGTGCGGAACGGACCCGGAACGGTCTCAGATTTCGTGGTTGGCGCAGCACCTTCGCAAGGTCGAGAAATAAATAGGTAGCTTGATAGATAGAGACATAGATGGACAGTCAGGTATAGATAGTAAGATAGATAGAAGTACTAGGAAAGTCGTCTGTTCTTTCGGCTTGCATGGCTCAAACGTAGTCACTTCTGTGATTTGAGCATGTGGCACACCACACAACTCACCACACAATTCGCAACACAACAACTACAGCGCTAAGTGTCCGAGAGAGTCAAGCAGACCCACGTGTGTTTGAGTTTTTTTATACAGAGTCACAAGACGCAAGCAGTCTTGGTTGGGCCCATCTCCCCCTCAGGGGGTCCTTTACACGCTTCACACCAGCCACACACACACAGCAGCAAAAGCAGGCATCACACCAACCATCACTTCGCAACAGCACAAGCAGGCATGTAGCACATTTTAGAATTTGTTAGATCTTGTTCACCATAGTGTCTGACTTCTTGGTACCCGCCGGCTAGGCTAAGGGCGGCTTGGCATTTCGGCCGGCCGCGCGCGCCATGGACCGCGAAGAGGGCAATGCAAGTGAGGGCCGCTTTCAGGTTCTGTTGGCTTACCTGGCCGCCAACACCGTGGAGCTGCGACAGCTGCAGTGCCCAGACATTGCAACGCTTTTACGCACGGGCGAAGCTAGGCGAGGCAAGCCGGCCATCCCAGAACGAGCAGCCTTGCACCGCTTCGTGCAGCGACACGGCCACACTTTTACAGATGGCCAGCAGGCCGAGCTCCGGGCCTGGGAGGCTCGGCTGTGCGTCTCGCCGGAGCACGCAGCAGACGCAGCGCAGTTTGCCGAGTTCACTGCCTTACTTGAGCGGCGTGCAGATTTTTTTCAGTCACTGCGCAAGCCGTCTTTAGAAGCTTGCTTTGAAGTGCACGCAGTAAAAAAGGATAGAGACCTCAAGTTCGGTCAAAATTTCATGCGCCGCAGCATCCCAAAGCTTTCGCAGGAGCAGAAGGACGAGCTGGCCGAGTGGGAGGCCATGCTTTGTGACGCTGGCGAGGGCGAGCGCTTGGCGTTTCGGCCGGCGCTGCAGCGACAGCTGGAAAAGTTTACTGCCTTGCTCGAAAATCGAGCCGACTATTTCCAGAGCTTGCAGAAGCCGTCGCTTGTGGCTTTGTTTGACTCGCACGCAGCGAAGACCGACAAGGAGCTTCGGTTCGGCAAAGACTTCATGCTTCGCTGCTACCCACAGCTTTCGCAGGAGCAGAAGGACGAGCTGGCCGAGTGGGAGGCCATGCTGTGTGAGCCCGGCGAGGGCGAGCGGCAGGCGTTTCGGCCGGCGCTGCAGCGACAGCTGGAAAAGTTTATCGCCTTGCTCGAAGATCGAGCCGAGTACTTCCAGAGCTTGCAGAAGCCTTCGCTTAAAGCTTTATTTGAAGTCCACGCAGCGAAGACCGACAAGGAGCTTCGGTTCGGCAAAAACTTCATGCTTCGCTGCTACCCACAGCTTTCGCAGGAGCAGATGGACGAGCTGGCCGAGTGGGAGGCCATGCTTTGTGACGCTGGCGAGGGCGAGCGCTTGGCTTTTCGGCCGGCGCTGCAGCGACAGCT